ACGACGAGCGAAAATACCATATTCGTTGTAATTTTGTGTTGTGTGCTCTTTTTTTTCTCTTTCTATATTAATATTATATTTTACGTGGTCATTTCAATTTGATGCTATTTTCCACATAATTTCACTTCATAGATCGACGACGCAGGCACACAATCATGTCGATTGTTCTATCGATGCTTTTGCGGATTGGGTCACGAAAGACAATCCAGTCACAGTCAAACACACACACACAGAGAGAGACCATCAACACCGCCATCACCACAAACAACGAATAAAATATGTATGGAAAAGGCAAGGGCACGAATAAAAGGCATTAGTAAGCGGTAAACCGAAGTGAATAAAGAACGTTTTGTGTGCGGAGAGACTAATCACTTGTTTTCAATATGAGAACGATTTTTGCTGATGCAAATAAAACACGAAACAATGTAACATAACAATGAACCAAAGGCCAATGATGACGACGACGTCGAAAACGGCGAGAACGGCAGCGACAACAGCACACAATGCACAACGCAGAGGAGTGAATGGGTTAACGACGCAATGTGTGTTGGAGCCCAGGTATCGGATTTCGGATCATTTGCAATGGCAACAAATTGCTCAATTTTGAAGCAAACAATTCAGAAATGTGAGTCACTGGTTAACATAGACTATATCATTGGAGAGAGTGAGAGGGAGCGGGAGGGAAAAAAAGCGGAGCAAATGAAACGTGTACGTGTCGAACAGGCGCAAATTAGATTTGTTATCGGCATGCCGATTGGTTGAATTCAAAGCAGGAATGCAATTGAATTATGGATAAGCTGAAGTCAAATGCATAACATTTCGATGAGAATTTGAAATGTCACCGTATTCTTTGTGTACAATGTCATTTGGTTGGGTTCAACTCGGCTGGCTCTCTCTTTCTCTCTTTCTCTCCCAATTTCATTAATATTTGATTACATTTATATTTGAAACAGACGTGTTCATTGCCTTTGCACATACGTAGGCTTGTATTTCAATTGAATTTTAATATTTATATGGCTCGGTGCTGTTACTCTCGCTCCCTTAGTGCTAATTTTCAGCCGAGAATCGATTCTCAGCCAAACAAAACATACATATACACAGACACATCCACATTGCGTATGAATTCACTTACCTCTAAGTCTTCGTAGGTTTTGAATGCCAATATTGCAAATCCATCGACAATATCCTCTTCGAGCAATGGTGATTGCTCTTTTTGTTTTTTGCGTCGCGGCGGTGGTTTTTCACGTATTGGCGGTGCAGTAGCCATATCTTCGTCGGCGCTATCATGCACAGCCGCTGTCGGTGTCGCCGTCGCCGTCGCCGTTGCCGACGACGACGTTGAATTTGTTATTGGTGCTAGTGTATTTTGTGGTGTGCTTGTACCATTGCCAGTTTCACGGCTGGCTCCACTGCCACTATTGCTCACATTCGTTGTGCTACCAGCGCTATCCACACTATCTCGATCTCGCTCAGCCTGCATGCGTTGAGCTCGCTCCCGTCGTTTGTTACGTTGATTTCGCCGTTTTCTCACATCAATTTCCATGATTTTTTTCCGTTTAATGCATCAACCACACTTTGTACCACCATTATATATGTATTATACTGTGATCCCGTTGTATTCTTTTTCGTATCACTTTCAACTAAAAAAAACAAACAAACAAACAAAATTTCTTCTTCTTTTTGAATTCTTTTCGGGTGTTTTGGACCGTTTTCGACAGATACAATTTATTTACTTAAACTCTAGCGCACACACACGTTTGCACATGGCTGCTGATCATTCTCTGTCGGCATGTGTGTACAATTTTTTTTGTTTTGGAACAATTTATCTATCACTATTTATGGAATTTTAACGACGACTTCTATGTTTACTAATGATTTCAATGGGCAGACGAACAGGATTTTTTTTTCGTTTTCTTATTCAGCAATTTCACTACAAAATTTCTATAAGGGACTTGAACACACACTAAACATCAACACACAGAATAATTCCATTCGATGGGGTGCTGAATACGGCAAATATTTTACTAAAAATTTTGGTCGGTCACAGATTTATTTCATGAAAGCCTCAAACGCTTGTCGTCGTCATCGTCTGTACGTTGCCTCGAAACGATTTTGGTTATTTTACACGTTGTACCGATTAGTTGTTTTGCACTGTATGCGAGAGAAAGAGAGTCGATTTCGATGCGAATTTTCTTATTCAATCCGTGACGTGCTACGAACGTTTTGCACTAGAATCCACTAATAATCCCAAACGGCAACTGCATCGATTGCAATATTGTGGGCAGCAAGCTCATAAAATTTAACGCTTACAATGCTGAAATGCTGACGTCAAAATATTTCTCTTTTTTTCTACGATAAAACCCGGCTGCTTTTCGGACGAAGAACGAAAAAAAATGCGTTACATGGAAATTGATTGCGTATGCGATGAAATTGTGTTCGAATAGTTTATTCTTCGAAAATGACTTGGATGTGCTTTTCGTTGGAAAAGAACAATTGCATGCAAAATGGTGTCAACATTATCAACATCCAATGTAAACAATCGTTATCGTTTAGTCAATCACTTTGCAAATACTTGTGTTGTGTTGTGTATGACACACTAGTTTCCAATTTTTTCTTTCTGCTGTTGTTTATTTTCTTTATTCACTCACAAATCGATTTCTGATTTCAAGTGTGTAAAAAAAATGTCACTGGTGTTTCGTTCGTTCGTTCTTTTTGCACAAATCCTGCCGTTACACGTCACTCACAACACTGATTCTTTCTTTTGGATACGCGTTTTTTTTCTTTGTTGTTAGTTGGTGTGTTGTTTCCGTTTCATATTGAAAGTCGCTTGCTTCAGTTTAATAGTACGAAACAAGACAACGCAAAATTCGAAGCACTGTTTCAACGTAAATTGGCGAATGTTCAGAAGGAACTAACGTTTTCTGCTGTTCATTAATTGTCTAACGTCATGTATCACTATTGTGTGTTTATTGTTTATGTCAATGGAAACTGAAATGTATACAAATGAGGCAATATTACACGAAATTGTAAAGCTAAGACAGCCACTGGGCAATCAAAGTCTTTTCGTCGGTGACTTGAAGAAATGAGAGAGAGACAGAAAAAAAATAGAATAATATCCAAGCAAACTGAATCCGAGTGTGTGTGTAAACGAGAGAAAATGTAATTTCGGCGTGTATTTTGTGTGTTGTCGATGTTATGAATTGAGACTACTAAGGACTAGCAGCGCCGCTTGTGTCAGCTATGCGTACACACGTTCAATACACACTCGATGGATTACGGGAGAGACGAAAGAGAATACTCTTTTTTTCGTCGTTGTCGTCGTGTATTTACTTTTCTCTCACTCGGTGTATATTTTTATTTTTCTCACACTTTGTTTAATTTGGCTGTCGATTGCATCAATTAGTTTCCGATACGGCGACCGTAAATATACACAGCAACCAAAAAAGCACCAAGTTGCTAAATGTTGACACGAATTTGAATGAAATAATCCATTGAGCTCTCTGATACACAGGCAACGATGTTGCAATTGCACGCACAATCGTCACAAACGTAATTTTGTTTTTCTTTCACTGTGCACTTTTTGAATGAAAACATGGATTTTTGGCTTGGATTGTCTGTGAACGTTTTGCGGTCGAAAAAGTTGCTTTGGGTTCAAATCACACTGTCATTTGTCCAGCCTACTGTGTTGCAGCCACTTCAAAATGCAATTCACTCACTATATTGTGTGAACTCAATATTCGCTTGCTCTCACTCTGTGTATCTCACCGAAATTTCTCAATTCAATTGGATAAACATCAAAATTCTTCAACGTTTTCTTACAGTGTTTTAGTTTTTTTCTTCTTGTTTTCTCACAAACACATTCTCAGTTTTCCATTCAGAATCACAGAATTTTTTTTATTTCAACAGCAGCAACAGAGAAAAAATAATATTCATTTCATGAAACAGAACGAATAACACCGAAGAAAAAAAAAACACTTTTTTCTTCGTTTTATTTCTTCGTGAGTTGTGTGTATATTTGATATATAAGGTTCCACTCAGTTTCCAATAGAGCAAAGAGCTATGCGTTTTTTATTCAACTTTTCACTTTGTTGTAAATTTTACCACAAAAATTCCGTCCGAATGCTATTGAATTTATACAATTCGGATAATATAACCATTTACGATTCGTTTAAATGCACTTTTATGAAATAATTCCCGAAAAAACGATGTGAAAAATGCAAAAACATTGATCGAATTCGCAAAATGACGGCCAACACAAAATCTCCTCTTTGGCAGATTACATTTTATGATATATACACACTGCTGTGCTCTATAACATGAAACACTCTGTGAATGCCTTCGTTTTTTTTTACTTTTTTTCTCTTCTTTCTACTCGTTCTGGCTGAAGCGCTGTTCTGCTGCGATTCCGTTCTTCTTTTTCAGTTTTTCCACGATAGTGTATGTGGGGATGCGGTTGTGTGTGTGCGTTTATGTTATGCTGTGTGTTGTGTATACTGTCGATGATATCGGTCATTAGCTGTGTGCGTGTGTGTTGTTTCAGTTTGGATGTTCGATACACACAGCCGTCAGCGTATTTTGCACAACTACACAGCAGCCGTAACAGCAGCAACGATCAACATTTTCACCACACATGCAGTTATCGACACATTTTGTACGTTACATTCGAACGAGTGTGGTGGTCGTTGTGTGTATGTGTTGCGTTTGTGTGCGTATGAGAAGCGTCAACGGCTCTCTTCAACAACACACTACGTTTGTGTATGTGTGTTTTCTTTGCCGATGTTCGTTACAACTGCTGACAATGTAAAGTTTTGTTTGCCCATGTGCATGTGTGAGTGTGACGGTGACTGCTGGCGCGTGTGTGTGTATGTGTGTATATGTCGTTTTTTTGGTATATTTTATATTTTTACAGTTGCTTAATATGGACGATATGCCGAATGCAGTGCTGCCATCGTTCAAAAGCCGAAAATATCCCCTCGATGCGATTTTAGCATCAAATGAAATCGAAATAATAACAGTAATCATAAACAAACGTGAAGGCAAACAGCACACTCGGGCGTCTCCAAGCGCAAAACAAAACAAATCTCACATCACTGAGGCACAACGGTTTTTTTTTCGCGTGTACACTCTCTTATTCGCATTTTCGCATCCACCAACGAAATAATATTATCCACTTTTTGGGATTTCACATTCAAGTGAACGATTTTCAATCGACGTAAACAATTTTTCCAGGTAATTTCAAATTTTGTATTGAGTGGTTTTACGTTATATTTTTGGCAAATTGCGTCGTTCATTTTGCCAATTTTGTGTGATTAGTGGAATTGGGATTTAATTGTTCTGGTTTGGATAATACCACTTCAAGGTGATTCATATTAAGGTTATTAAGTAGATGTTCACGGTGCATATTTTTAGCGCAATTAGTATATCAAAAATGTTCAACATTTTTCAAAAGTTCAAGTGGCCCTCATTGTTGTTTCAGTTTGATGTTTTGTTTTAAGAATCGAATTATGTGGATTTTTTTTTACCGAAAAAATTTCGATTATTCCGAAATAATTTCTGAAAAAGTCGAAACAAATTAAGCCGAATAAAGCATTTTGTTTTTGAATCGCAAAAACGTTAATCGGCATCACATTGCTAATAACCATCAAAATTGTGCAAAGAGAACGAAACAGCAAAAACAAATCCAAACAACAACAACAAAAAAATCGTTAGACAAATTCAGTGCTCAGTTCAGTTTCCTTCTGTTGGTACCAACTCTCTCAATTCAGTTCAGCTTACCTGACATGTGTTACACTCAGTTTTGAATACAGTCCAGTTTACCTTTTGATTTAAATTTCAAGTGTGTTTTTTTTTATCGACACGAAAAAATCGTTCGTCGTGCACAAACGAAACAAAACCAACACTTCAGACCAGCAATTGCCATAATTTTTGCTGTCGAGAAAAAAAAACATAGGTCACTTGAGATTCGCTATTGAGCATCGATTTAAATATTTATTTCAGTTAAACAGTTGCAGCCCTGCACAATGTTGAGAGTAGTACAATAGAGTACAAAAACGATATAAACAAACGACATACACATACACAACCACATGCACATTGGATTGTGTTCACTGTTCACGCACACACACGCTCACACAGACGAACGAGTCTCGTCGAACATAATGTTGTCGCAAAGTACACTCGACCGATAAATTCTCTCTCACTGCTTCTAAACTGTGGCACCAGTGTTTCAGTAAGGCATTAGCCTTTGCTGCCGACACACACATGAATCGATTTAGCTTTGACGCGGAAAAATAGAATTTTTACGTAAAATTTTTACGTGTTTTGAACATCATAGCATTTTATTGGCATGGTCGGATCAAAGTTTTCACTTTGGTTTATTCAGAAACTTCAGCTACATTTTAATGACTTAAAATGACGTGGTTTCTACAATTACCACTTAAAATACATTTTAATCTCCGCTATTTAGCTATTTCATAAAAAAAAAATGAGTTGGGAAATTCAGGCAATTTTCGCCGTCGTCAAGCAATTCGGAAACTTCACCGTTCAGAGAATCACATCAGCCAAAGTTCAGTTTTGCTATCAGTTTTACGAGAATCGACAATTTATTCGCCAACCTTTTTACTACGACACGTAAATCCTTTTGTTTCCTTCATCATCTAATTTAGCACTGAACCATTTGCGTGAAGTATATCTGAGGGCACATTTTGACAACGCACATTAATGGATTGTGACTTGAAAAGTGTTTTCCAGTTGAAAGATAATATTTGGATTGATGTCACGCTCTATTTCATTTTGGCATTATCTGTGCGGTTGCTTGTTTACCTTTATCAAAATGAATGGTGCTTTTTATGAGGCGGATTAAGCGTGTTTCATACAAATAAAAATGTTACTATGTTGTGCAGGATCCGACATCTGCTATAACCACCTGAATTAATTCGTTTGCCGTACCGCTCGTTTCAATTTCCACAAATTCCATTTCGCGGCTAATCAAAATCTAATCGAAACGCGTGCGTGAACAAATCAGTTTCACTTTATTTAATTTTACCTCTGAAATTGACCGCTTCGAAAAATAGAGACGCGATTTAATAGAGATAGCCACCGATGAAAATGCACTGCACATTGAATCGCAATCGAATTTTGTTTTGTCAAAGAGTCAGAGCGGCCAGCGCAGCGATGGAGAGGTAGAGATTGTGAGAAAGAACCGATGAGTGAATGGTATTCACTGAATGCGTGTGTGCGTGCGTGTAAGGGGCACTAACAATATTTCGATTCAATCGATTTTCACTTTGCTGTTGCATTCAAAAATTAATCGAAGCTCAATTGAATTGGATCTGGGTGAATAAGCAGCAGCAGCAGCAGCAACAGCATCGACAACCATATTGCCGTAAAACGAACATTGAAATTAGCTTCAAACAAATATAATTGCATTTTAAATCAACAAATCGAATGAACGTACAGTAAAATGAACATGTTCCCCCCATGCAAATGTTGGCAATATTCAAAAGTTGAAGTACATAGTTAATAATCTACTTGAAATTCGATCAAAAATTGTAATTTAAATCTCATTTATATGAATGTTCATAACGTATTTTACCAAATGCAAATGCCATGCCCGCAATGAATGCAGATTCGGAGCAAAGGAGTCTCTCCATTTCCTTGTATTAAATAATAATCGGTTGCGATGCTGCTACTTGCAATTCACTTTCTCGTTGAAACGTGCCAAAAGTCAATGTCACTGAGCAAATGATTCAGTTGCAATGAAATATCCGGCGTGTGTGTGTGTACTGATGTGAGAGCTGATGAAATGGTGCCGCTCTTTTGCCGACACCGATGCCAAATTCAACCACACTCATATACAAACATTATTAATTTAACCTTTCACATTTTGCATACACACACTCTCTTTCTCTGGCTGAATTCCCAACACTACCGTTTCAGCTGACTGGAATTTCCTTTCGGAACGAAGTGCAAATTATACGAAAAACGCCTGAAGTCATGCAAAATATTTATTTTATTGAAAAATCAATTCCCGTCGCTCTCATTCATTTGGTTGAGTGAGCGAGCGTGGACGCGTACACACGAGAGGGAGAGAGAGAGAGAGCGAGAGAGTGAGATGAAGTGTGCATGTGTATGATGTTTATTATGGGTGTGAATTGTGATTCATGGAACAACGGCACAGGCCGAGCAAAATAAAAGCGTATGTTTCTGCTGAGCACAATTCCATATGACAGGCCAAATGGTTAAATCAACACACACACACACACACACACACACACACTCACAGGCAAAGTTTTATTGGATCTTGTACTCATAACATGTTCCGTTGATATTATTTATTTACCTGTAATCAACGCGCAAAGGCGCTGAACGCCACGACAAGGAAATTATTATCAAGCCGAATGAACATGCAGCAAGTATTACGAGAAAGAGAGAGAGAGAGAGAGAGAAAGCCAGCACGATGAGCCAATAACAACATTATTTTTCATCGCGTTGAAGATTTGATGTGACAACCGATGTGAACACGAACCATATACTATGAGCGTTCTGCTCAAAGCATGCTAAATCTACTCTGATTTCTTGCTCACGGCGCTTTTACCACCGTCGTCATCGCAATCATCGTCGTTCGTTCGTTCAACATATTTTTGCATCATTCATCCGCTCACTGCGATCATCGTTAAGGGGTTTTTATTTATTTTGCATTGGAAACATATTCAATTGTTGAAATTCGTTCACTAGCATCTTCTTCGAAGCGAGTGAGAGACCAAGAGATTGTAGCGTTGCGATAGTATTTTCTTTATTGCCCGCAGGACTGTTTTTTCGTTCGCTTTTCGGAATGTATGACATAAACGTGTGCATAATTTGACACCTGTGCCACACAATGTCATGAGAGATCACATCGTTCGCATTAAAACAAATCGAAGCGACTCAATAACTGTTGAATGCTTGAACTTTCGACACATGACATCGACAATACCGTGATAATCATCTCTCTGTGTGTGTCTGTCCATTTTATTTACTTAAACAATTTTATAAGTGCTTTGGTTTCGTTTCGTTTGCAGACGATACAAGAAGTTGAAGAATACGAACGAGAAGGAGAAGAAGGAAACCGACTTCGAGATGGCTGGTTCGATTGAGCAATTGTCGGCGTTTATTGCAGTTGCTTGCATCATTGGTTGCGGACTATCGGCATATTCGTACTACTTGACAGTCACATTGGAAGAGGATGACGAGTATGAGGCACTGTGCGATATTAGCGAACACATTAGCTGCAGCAAATCACTTCAATCCGAGTATGTGAAAACATGTTTAGCATTGCACATGCTCAAATCATACATAAACCAATTTTCGCTTATTATTAACGCCTCGTTTTTTATTTGTTGTCTTATGTTCTACAGATACGGTCGTGGTTTTGGTTTGATTGCCCCATATTTTGGAAGCGACTCGTTTTTCAATCAACCAAACGGACTCTGGGGCTTAATGTTTTACACCACGGAATCACTCTTAGGTAATAATTATCATATACTAAACATATTGCTCCACATTGTGTTTGGCACCAAATCGGTTCTCAAGAACGTGTTTGGGCACACGCGTGGGGGTATTGCTATTTCGATTCAACACACTCTTTTTTTTGTTCCACTTGCTTGTTTTGATCTTCTCGAAAATTATCAAGTGTATGTAAATTACACGAAACCACATAAATTCACACAGTGTTCCAAAACCCCAAGAGCTGCGGTGTTATTAACACCATAAAAAGAAATCCAATCCGTGCGCACGAACAATAGAACGAACAAGTTTAAGCCAAAAGAATCGAAAACCATAAAATGACACGCATAAGGCGACAAATGCACACCACTTGTAGCACCTGTGTATGCAATGCAAAATCCGCGGAATGTATTGCTGTGTACACTTAAACAACAAAAAAAAAACGTGTAAAATCTCTCTTGAACAAGCACGAGCTGTTTAAACGAGCTACACATTTCTTTTCACTGTTCTACAATTACTTTTTATCTAAATTGCCGCGCTGTTGTATTCGCGTTTGCGAAAAAAAAGTTAGCTTAATAATGAAATAACAAAAGTTATAGGTAATCTACATAATCGTATTAAAAATCGAGCTTATGAACGCAAAACGGCAAATAATGTACATATCCGCGACGACCGAGCAAAGAAAAGACAGCAATCGAAGGACTGCAAAGAAATGAAAATTCCGTATCGTACGCTGCCTCAGCTGCATATTTCTATTGAATTGTGAACAACAACAGCAATTTGTAGCAAAATCGTTGGTGTATATGAATCGTGCACCATTCGCAACAGCCCGAATCGTGTGCGTTCAGTGTGCTCTACTCAATGGAGCTCTCGCTATTTACGTATTTTTTTGCAAATGCAAGTGTGAGAATATTTTAAGCTGTTGTTAGCATGCACTCAAACGCAAACATACATAATGCCAAATTGAATATGTACGGAGCGCGTTTCTTTTTGTCATCGAGAAAATATCGTTCGACGCGAACAAGCCAAGCCAAGCAAAATAAAAGAATCGGCTAACAAGTGAAAAGAACGTAGAAAAACAAGCGAAACAAAAGGCGTTACAAAGAGATTTGGCGATTTGCTTGTTGTTATTTCGTTTTTCGTCTTCGATCACTTTAAATGCCACATAAGCCGTATTTGTTCATATTGCATCGCACTGTTGAGTGCTGCAACGCGCACAACAACGTTTTTACATTAACTCATTTTTTTCTGGTTTTGTTTGAAACATTTTTGATGCTTTTTCGTTTGCCATGTTTACATTTTCGCTCGAGACACAAAAGCGATGATATTTCGATATTAACTCCGAGCCGGAGTCGAAGTTGTTTACAAATATTGTCATTAATTTCTATTTGCACATACATAATCATTTTGGCTTGTTCATTTTTTGTTGCACCATTTGTTTTCAATTTGTTTTGTCTAATGTATGTTTGTTTTTTTTTTCGTTTTCTATTAATTTGAAAGGTTTTTCCAAGAATCCGTTGGTCGTGAAAGTACAAGTGATCCTGTCGATACTGTCAATTGGAATCTCTTCATGGTTGGGATACGTGTCATACTTTGAACTTCAGAATCTGTGCTTTGTTTGTGTCGGTCTCTTTATCATCAACATCATCATCGTCACATTGACCATCATCCGTCACCAACGGCTAAATAAAGCCAAAAAACCGGCCACATCCAGCGGAACAACCAAGAAGAAAGCGCCAGCCAAGAAAGGAAAATCCAAAAAAGACCAATGATTTTAACCTTAATTTTGAGCTTATCTCATAAGAAATCCATTCCAAATATTTCCTTTTTCTAGTGTGAAACATTTTTTCTTCTCTTTTTTGCCAAAAAAAAGATGATGATAATGAAAACAAAATACCAAAACCATTTTGAATTAGAAATTCGTAAATCTTGTACATCTACCTCGAAATCACTAAATTAAAACGAATCAAATTACATTCATAAAAATCTATTGTTTCTGTTTCTATTTCGGACGATTATTGGTCATTTGTCACATGTGTATGGTGGTTCGATTTGCATATTTAATGCAACGAAATTGGTATTGCGGGCAAATTTATGGGACTATTATCGAAAAGAAATCGAAAACATACCGCCATGTTATATAATTAACACAGGTAATGCGTTGCCTCTATTAGATCATAAATCAAATGGATGGCGCGAGAATTCGAAGACACACAAACCCAATGCGATAAAACCCACAAGTATCTGGCAAATTACAACGCGTGAGCACAAACGAAGAAGAAGAAGAAGGAAAATAAGCAATCGGCTGGCAAAGATCAGAAGTGGCAATTATAATGGATTTACAATAAATATGGTAGGTGTATGTGTTGGGTCTTCACGTAGCATTAAAGACAAAGTCAAGAAGGACACATTTTCATAAAATTTGTTTTCTGTCTCTCTATCTCTTCACGTTAAGAATACAGTTTGTTGACATTCACAAAACAGACAAAGCCATTTCACGTTCCATTGAAATCAAAGTGGGTTCTCTGAATTCGATTTCAAGCGTTTCGAATTGAGACAACCACATCAAGTGGGTGGCAAATACTTTTAATGCACATTTCGGTTAATGCATTACAAAAAAGTGCGAAGCACATGAAAATGCCAAAAAAAAAATTATCATTTTAAATATTTGGCATCAAATCACCATACAAGCAAGTGACTTAAATCTATTGACACTGATATTCGTCATGCGGACTTAAATTCAACGTAGAGCGTCAAATATTTGCTTAATGGATTTTCAATAAAAAAAAAACAATTTGACTGAAACTTGTTGACTGTTTTTTTTTGTGCGAGACACAAAATACCGTGGGCCACCGAAATTGCTCAAGGATGCATATTTTGGCGACATAAATTCTTACTGTAAACCATTTTTGAAGCTAAATATTTCAGGTGTTTATCTCATTGGTTCCGCATTTAGTTGTATCAATGTCATTGAGTCGAATTGCGTTTCGGAAATCTCGTCTGCGCAACAAGATTCTGGATGCACAAAGTGATTTGTCGGAAAGATGAATGTTCAATGCAAATGACAATGGCATCACAATCAAGCAATACACTCATTCTGTTTCATGCTTCAACGCTAATCGCTACAACGTCAGGTTAAATCGCATTACAAAGCATATCAATCATCTGGTCACCTCTGATTTCATTACACCCCATTGTAACTTGATTTATTATTGATTATCGTCGGCATTATCTCGATTCACGCGAAAAACTTGCACACAACACAATATGATCATTTGTTGAAACGGCGACGACGAGTTGGTGGCTTCGGGCGAAAAATCATCCAATAAAAAGATGATTAAAAAATGGGAAGTTCCGAATTCATTATAGTACCCACGATAAATTTCTGCGCTTGTGGTCATCGCGAACAATATAATTTTTTTTCAGTATAAATTTGAATGAAAAAACTTTGCGGCTCGCATACATTTGGTTCGCACATAAATCTTTTCCGAACGTAAAGTTGAATGCATTTGTCTTTAAACAACGCAGTAAATCCTAGAGTAAATCTCCATTTATATCGTTTGCAGTTGATACAGCCAAGTTTGTATCTTTGTTTGCCGGACATTTAGATAAACTCGGAACCAAAGGGAAAAAATATCAATTCAGCGAAGATATCAGTAGTCGCATGGCACTAAAAACGTGCATTTAATCATTGTCTTTCAGTAAAACCGTCTTAAGCCATAATACGAGGAAATGAGGTAAAGATAAGAAAAATTCATTCAAATCGGTACGTTAGTCAATTTAATCTAGTGAACTTTAAAAGGAAATGAACGAACGAACGAGAAAAAAAACGCGCCATGAAAGAAAATCGAATCCCCTTAATGTTTCAAAAGATCCTGTTTGAATTCCCAATTGCAATCGGTTTTTCTAGCTTGTAGGTGCATTCAACGAGGAAAAAACGACGACAACAACAACCGTTCGATTACATCTCGTTAGTTGGAAATCAATGCAATTTGGCGGCACAAAATGCATTAAAATGCCCACTTGTTTCATTTGTCCATTTTTTTGCCGCTGACATTATGTATATATAGAAAATATGCCAATGTAATTTTCTCTTTCAATTTAATAGCGCGAGCGCGCGCACTCACACAATCTGATTTATGTCGCCGCCAAACATGATGAAAAACGACCGATGCCGATAATCGGTCAATCGATCAGAGACCACAATATGGAAAGAGTAAAAAAACCCAGCGCCTAAAGATCGTATTTGGTATTTCATTTCGATCGATTACGGCGGAAATTCCTACAAAAAAATTGCTAATTATTCGCAACAACTTGGGTTACAATTTTTTTGGATTCTATGCTGTGCCGTTGCACATACCGAAGATTCAATGCGCGGTGTATAATGAATAATGACTAATGACTCACAAATACAGCTCACAAATTGCGCAAAAAGCTCGAAATAATAATAGTGTCGTTAGCGATGCGTCTGTCGTTCGTTTGTTGGATGATGGTGGAGAAAAAGATGACAATTTCACAATTGAATCAGTTACACTCACAAAGAGTACACCGTACCAATGGTCGTGACGACCATGTCTAAAGTCCAATTCCAATTCCAGATGATTTGCAGTGTGTGTATTTGTTCGTTTGTTTGTTTCCCAAACCAGACTGGGACAACATTATTTGAATTAATTAATTCTTCGTTCCATTCACATTTCACTCTGGGTTAAATTTGTTTCTGAAATTCCGAGCACATTCGGCATTCATGTCAACGCGATGGCCCAACTCTTAATTAACGAAGAAAAACCGTATTCCGAAGCTTACATCATTTTGGTCAATATCGAAATACAGTTGGCGCATCACACAGAGTACGCGTCTGTTGTCGATTTACTTTTTCAAACAGGTAAACGATATGCGCCTGCTCTCCTCCGTGCATTTCATTCGGTTTGTTGATTTAAGTAAAAACATGCAATTAAAATGGGAGTCAAAGACAGTGGATGTTTTAAACTAAATAGTGCGTCGTTATTTTATAACCGAGCTGAGATCGCCCGCATACGTATATAAGAATTAGTCGTTTATATGCGAATAAGTAGATAAAGTGACATGCGTGGGAATTAGCCGAGTTTCGTCTCTTTTTTCTCTCTTCTGCGTTTCGCATCTCTGTCATTGCTTCCAGTTTCAAATACCAAGTTTATGTCATTGGCTATTTTTTACCGTCTCACAACTCGCTCATTTAGCGTCGTCCAACCGACGTGTATGTTTTCTTTTCGCTTGCAATTCGGTGTCTCACTTTGGACAATTTTAATTTAAAGTGGTTTGCGAACTCTATAAAACCACCATACGCAATATTGAGCTTAGAAAGACAACACGAGTGTAGGATGAATAGAAACAATTCAAATGGAGAAAAAAAATAATGTTAAGTCGTCGGATCTGTTCGTTTAGCTGCGAAATGGTCTTTGGTTCTTTTGCACTGATTTCGGGTGACTTTCGTTCGACTGAGCTAAAATATGGAGTATAGGTGGACGGAGTTCACTGACAACGGTGTTGCCTACGCGATTTTGAACGAAATTGACAATTTGAGCAGAACAAGAATCTGGCGGCCATCGAATCAGTTGGACGTGGAAAATTGCCCATTTTAATTCAAGAAGAAACAAAAAAATCACTCGATTTGATGTATTGTCATTGATTGTTTGAATCAAATCATGAGCACGGACCTCACAATCCGAATATGACGCATGGAAACAAAAATACCGTCACAAAAAAGCATTTAAAATCTCATTAACAAAAAGAGAAAAAAAAACTCGTTGCAAACAAAAACGACAAATGAATTTCAAAAAAAAAACTCATCATCAGCTTGTTAGAGCTTATTACATCTAATTGGCTCACGTGTTAAATCGATGACAACACTTCAATCTGTTTATCTCTCTAAATGAGCGGGCCATATGCAAATATGATCAACTGAAATTGGAAAAGGAAGTAAACAAATTGAGAAAAATATGTATAAAATAAACGCAATTGACTGAGCGCGTTGAGTACTATCCACTCACGCAAAACAATCCACCTGATTATGTATGGAATGTATTTTGGTTTGTTTCCTATTGTTATTGCTGGCTTAACAGAATGCCAATCGTTTTGTTACGAAATAAAAATTTAATGGATAAGTCTATTAAATTCTCTATTGATTGGCTTTATCAACAATTACCGAAAAATATCGTAAGTTTACTTACTAAGTAATTTATTAGAACGAAAGGAAAAGCCAATCTACAAACTAGGTCGAACCTCAAATGATTTGTAAACTTGGCTTTTGTATGTGTCAATTGATAATTGATCGTTTTTCTTTCTATCTTGACATGTCACTTTTGGGAGTGAAATGTGGTGTATCCAGCCATCGAGTCGATGAATGAATGACTCGGAATAGATTCGTCAACAGTTTTTGCGGTTTTTCGTTGTTTATTTATTCATTAGGCGAGAATAGAGTATGAGTGTGCGCCTGTGCTGTCAGCCGTACTGGAAATGGTGTTTGTAAATATAAATAAAACTTGAATGAAGGTACCAGAGTACAAAACGCCAAGCCAATGTAAACATCAAACATCATTCTCATTTGAGATCATTACATACATATAGGATGTACTCGATGTACGGTCAACAGGTTATATGTTGTGTACGTACTTATTCAATATTCATTTAGAAGTGGCTGCTTTCATCAATCTCTCAATTGGCGTCATTGTCATCGTCGCCATACATCAATCCTCAATAGACAACACAATGCACAACACAGCAAAAAGCAGCAGCAGCATCAAACGATTCGATCGCATTAAAATTTATTTGTTTAAATATAAAATACTGTTGTCTATCGCTCTTGTTTACGCAAACTGTTTTCTAAACTAAAACTGACTATATTTTCCATTGAAATAACTTATGGCGAATGTGTGCTGTGTGTGTGTTTTTTTTGTTCTCTGTATAAACAGGTAGAACTGTGAAGCATAGATAATGGCTGCTACATGTGAAACCGTTTTAATACTTGTTTCCAACCATTTATCAAACGAACACAAAATTGGCATCGAGCGGCGGTTTGTCATCGACGCATTGCCGCCACCGTCACCGCCGTATTCGATTCACCTATCTGTCTGCCCTTCTCTCTATCTCTCTCTCTCTATCTCTCTCTCTCGCTTTCGATGTCAACAACGCAAATTCTAATCGCATCGCAATGATATGTGCATGAAAGCATGTCACTTCACATATGCAAATGATCGACTGCGAAACATTATCCGATGTGAAATACCTGTGTATGACGATTAAAAAAAAACGTCCGATCATGCAAAATTGTAATCACACTTATCGAATTATTTTGATTGATTTTATTGATACTGTGGATGCGAAATGTTGGCATAAATAAACGTACGGCACCAATGGCTTGTGGTTTTTCATTCATTCAAGCTGTTAAATGAATACATTAAAATTGTGATCGGTTTGGCGTGTGTGTGAGTGCGAGAAAAACCTGACGATCAGGCGTTGTGCTGTCGATGCTGCTGCTACGGCTGCTGCTGTTGTTGTTGTTGTCACTGGATCGCTGTTTCGTTGGCAAAACTTATTCATATTTTACGGGTATTTCAACTACTTCGTTCGCGCTCAGGTCCGCTTCTACTGTTGCCGCTGCAGCTGAGCAAGTGATTTGTTTTCATTCACCGATCGTATGTTACCTTATTGTCTTTCACACAAGCGCACAACACGGCAAGCCGAATGTGGTTTTGTTTTTTGCTTCACTTTCGTGTGTTATGTGTATGGTTTTATTTTTCGTGTGTCTCTCTGCGCTCTGTTGTGACGATTTGTGTATATCGAACGAGCCGCTCGCTGTTATGATCTAATGGTCCCGTGCGAGGAATCAGTCGTAACGTGTTACTTGCATCGGTAACTTCGATTCCGAAAATTCCATCGATAAGTTAAAATAAAACCGATTGGAGACAAGTGGAAAAAAGAGTGAACATTTCTTCGTGACGATCGCTTATCACGACCAAATCGTGCGTTTAATTAGTACGATCGAATTTGTTCCTGTTTCTTTTCCTCTCCAAATTTGCGAAGCAATCAACGGAAATTCTTCCACAAAAAAAAACCAACCCAACCCACATGAATACACTCTTTGCGGCCGTATTCCGTCAAATAAATTCTATTCGGAATGTGCAAAATAAATGTGAGTATTTCGTGCAAAAGTCAATGAATGAAGCAGTTTCCACCTGACGATTTGGAACTGTTTTGGATTTTTTGTTTGAAAACAATACTGAACCACGTGAATCAAGTGTTAGATCGCTGAATGTGAATGAAAACAAATTACTGTGGCAATTAGTGGAATTGGATTGAGAAAAATAGTCGAGCAGCTAGTGTGTGTGTGTATTTGGAGTGTACGGTGCATTGAATCAAGCAAGACGCATTAATTGCTCTGTGAAACGAACCAGATTGTCAATCAGCCAGCAGGCGTGGTGCAATCGAAGCAGTTAGACCACAATTTAATCCATTGCACCTCATGCCATTTGATCACATTTTATGTGTGTGAGTTTTTTTCTCTTCGTTGCTTTCAATTCATCGAAATTCGCGTGACTTAAGTGTGATAGAAAGAAAAAAACGAATACCGAGAAAAAAAGGTTTTCGTTTGGGATTAAAACGTTCCACCCACATAATAATTGGTTTATCGTGGAATGTGCCAGTGAAATGGAAAGAAAAAATCCAGTTGCAGAAGGTCCCAACGTCTCGCTGCACACAGAAGATTAATACCGAAATTATAATCAACCTGTGACTGAATTTATTTCGCTGTGAAGTGATTAATGTGTTGGCTTTTGCCGTAATTTTTTCCGCTTTACTTGTGGCCGAAGAAAAAACAGCAGCAGCAGCAGCAAAACGAAGTGGAAAATATCTTGAGCGTATTTTTACGACTTAATCAGTGAATTTTTGTGTTTGCTTTACACTTTCGGGTGTGTGTGTGTGTATATATATGTGTGGATTACTGTCAACTTTTGGGCTGATACAAACAGGTGATTTAAGTTTTACAATTTGTTTTCCCATTTCGACTCCTTTTATTGTGTCGGTTCTTTTTTTCTTCATTTAAACATGTACCATAATCAGATGGATTTGTGGTTGCGGTGCACGGTTTTGCGATAATTCTATTATTCTGATGTCGCTTACGGTCGATGCCAAAGGATTACGACTAAGTTTTTATTTTTATCTCATTTTGGCATCGGTCGTTGTGTGTTTACACGCAAACTCGACGACTCCTTCGCTTGACAATATTCTTTTTATTCGAAACAAGAAAAAAAAAAATGCCCAAAAACAGAGAAGATGCGACTCGGTCGAAATGCTATTACAGAACCAAATCTACCGAAAAGAAACAATCCCACCAAAGACACAAGCATTACGTCGACTTATTCAACAAATAAAAATAAAAATAAAAACAACAACGTCCAACAGCAGCCAACAACAACAACCAGAAAAAGCAAAAGAAAATTCCAAAAACATTCAAGAATAAATAACCACCTACAACGAATTCACTTTCTGCTTCGACAAATATACACGGTTTCGAATGATGTTACGTAAAATATGGCAAATTTGTGCAAAAGACAAAGAAAAAAGCGTTCTATGGAGATTCTGAGAATTTTTCAAGCACAACACAATCAATTTTCAAGAGAAAGGACGCGCATTAGACAAACAAAGAAGGAGATTACGAACTTAGGCGCACGAATGGGAGAGAAAGAGAAAGAGACAAGAGAGAGAGAAAAGACATGAAAAACACTTAACCATGTGGAAAAGAAATAAAAACAGACACATTTCATTGGCTATTATCATTTGTTATGCGGACTTGCTGCTTCATGTTCATGTTCTCACCTACAACAGCAACTGGTGCAGTGAGTAACACTTTATGGCCAACACATAAATTGGTGCCAAAATATTGAATTCGGCACATTTCACATTCACACTCACACACACAGTGTGGCACTTGCAAACGAATATTCATACCATACATTTCGATAAGCTTTCAGCTGTGTATCACCAACTGTATTATATGTGTGTTTTGGGTCGTGGTGTCTTTATGAACATCGTCTCATAGCAATAAGTTTCAGTCAAACGACAGTATTCTTGACAAATAAATCCTCAAATCCTTATTTTCATTTGTGACTTTACGCCAATTCCGAAAAAAACACCATTTGAATATGGAACATAAGTTACGATGTCATTATTTATGTCCCACTGTCACAGCTTGGATATGCCATTTTTCCACTCTATTTTTTCTCTCGGTTTATTGTTGTTGCTGATGCTTCGAGATGAAAATCGTGTATATGATCCAAATCGAAATATATGCTAATGTTGGACGATGCTGTTTTTCATATTAAAATGTCTAAATAAATCGTCGTATGAAGAGAAGAAAAAACAACACTATGAATGAAAAATGTCTTTCTCGCATCGTCCTTCAACTCTTTTGTGGTTTGCCACGTTCAAAAGGTAAAACCAGTCCAAAGAAACAGTTCAGATTATTAAAAATATATTTCCATAATATTCTTGCCGATTATTTTCGGTGAAATATGTTTGGCCAAACGAAATGATGTAGTAGGTACTAAATATATACTAAAATATGGCAAATAAATTGGAAGCCAAATAACATTTTCGTTTCTCTCTGATCGCATCTTGATTTTATTGCTTCCAAATATGTTGTCGTTTTTTTTTTTTGTTAAATTCATTCAAAGAAATACTGCCATGCGGCTCCTTTACTGTCTCATTCGTTAGGCATTTTTCATTTTTTTTTCTAGTTCGGTATTCAAGATGATCAATATCTCTCCGTGTCTATGGTTTTGCCATTCGCCACACACAACAAAACTTATTATAAGTTCTGATATTAGGTTTTTTGCATGTAATTTGTGTTGTTCGATGTTTATCTGCTTTCAAACATTATTTCGATGCAATTGAACAAGAGCAGAGCGACACTGAGATTGTCACCTACTTGCATTCGAAAAAACCGCATGACTATTTTTGTCGATTCGCATTTCGGGTTACAAGATTTCTGTTTTTGTGTATGTGTTTCGTTTGCTTTACATTTAATCATGATTCATGACGAGATGCATATCGCACCGCACGCCAATTCCATTTTCAACTCGAATTTGCTCGTTCTAATTTCCAGTTTTCCTCACGATCCACTCGTAAAACGCAATTTAATTTAATTAAAAGCGGTTTTGATTAAATTTTATGCGGTGCAAGCCGATGACAAACGAGCCAACCTGGTGACGATATTGTGTCATATTTGACTGGAAATTGCCCACGTCTGTTCGTGAAGCTACCAAAAAAAAAATGAAACGATGTTCGTGCGCAATATTTCCGTAAGTGGGTCGAACGATTTTGGCTACTGCTGTTTGCCATACCAATTGCGCTTGAACTGTGCTGAAATGAAAGTTTATCTCTCAAGTTTTTATTCATTGTTCCTGTTTAATTTAAAATGAAGAAGAAGAAAAATTAATCTGAAGTTGAGCATCGGAGAGAATCGCTTATCCTTACATTTCATCTTGTCGACATGCACCCAAAAGTGGAACATAAACACAATTGAATCAGCCGATTCGATCGGAATTGTACAAGTTTCTGGATTATTGGCTCGCGCTCGGTTGTTGCTTTTTTTCTGCTGACATCACTATTGCCGCCTTTTTTTATTTCTTATGGCCATTGACCGGCCAAGATGGAAATTGATTGTGTACACAGAAAAAAATTTCTTTTCGAATTATAAAGTTCAACGGCGCCATTGCGATTGGGGTTTTTGTTTATCCGAAACAAAGGAGTTATAACTACGATTAAACTGAATGAAAAAGGAATTATAGATTTAACGCTCTTTTTTCTCCAACCGAAACGGTTGAATCAAAAGCTGTAAACAAAAACAAAATGAGTATGAATAAGGCGAATTATTTATGTTTATTTACTGCTTTTGATTATACACAGTGGACCACTCGATTGTCTTCACCTTGTTTCTTGGAGATGTGGGCCGTGCAGTTATCATCGAATTGATATTCAATTCATTTTGGTTGAATTTAATACAGGCAATGACCAAGTAATTCAATTTTGACAAAAAAAAATACTGCGTATTCAGGGTCGATTCACACCGAATTCGTTCAACAAATGTCAGCCTAGTACACACCAAATGTTGCGAACCATTTTTGGTAACTGGATTGACATTCTCACGCAACTAAACGCAATTTATTCATTTGACTCACACCATCAACCGTCTCGATTGCCATTCATCTGGCTTAATGTTTAAACTTGAAAGTGAATTAAATTTCGCTTTTTTGGATACCGAAGAGTTCAAACGTCTCAAGTGTATTAATTGGTGTTCGCGTTCAAATGGTGTTTTCCGGTACTTCAGCGCCAATGGGTTCTTCTATTGCTTATTTTCGTCGCGAAAAACGCTTCGTTAGTTCTATCTGTTCGATGTTTATCATTTTAATGGACTTGTTCTCGTTCCTTATCCAAGAATCGTTCTTCATCTGCCTGGAAATACGCATCGCTGTCATTTATGACTCTATTGTGATATTTCGAAACGACTCAACTCGTTTCTATGAAAATAGAGTCAAAGGCAAAATAGCATAAATGAATAAATTTTCGCGGATTATTTGGGATTTTGCTTGTTAGGCTTTGACTTTTGATTGCAAAATGTTTATATTTGTAAAAGATCGTACGCACCAAGCCAAATTCGGGTTTTTGTTGTGAGGCCGCAAATTTCGAAAGTAGTATCGAACCGACAAGCGATAGACGGACGACACACGATTTATTTGCATAGCGAGAAGAGGTGTGATTTTCGGCGAAATACAAGCGCGCTCGCTGTAATCGGCCTAAAATATTGCAGCCAAAAACAAATTACTTTTGTTTTCTGCTTAAACTTGCCATTTTTGTTTGACAAGATGTGACTTATTTAATTTTTACATATCTTTTCCATTCGGTATGTGAATCTCAACTAAGCGACTCGAAAAAATCCTATTGATTTAAACTTTGTCAATAGAAATAAAGTCAACATCGGATTTGTTACGTGACTCATTTGAAATTTTACGTAATTAACTCCACGTGAATTGTCAGCCGAGAGAGATTCATGTTCAATTTATGCAAATCACAACCGTTTTGTATGCAGATGTTGTCACCGATGATTTAAATCGGTTAAAAAAAAACAAGTCGTGCGCTCAATCAAAACGTGTGGCAGCTCAAATTTGTTTTGGGCCTTTCAAATACATGTCACTGCCGCATTAATTGCCTCCATCGGAAATTGACACTCATAATCATCCAATTTTTCCTGTGGGTGTTCCCACTTATGTCCATTTTGACCCACTTAAGTGGCGTATGAAGATTTTGTGGATATTATGCGATGATAAGAGCGATATAAATATCAAATTTCTAATAGCGGTTCTTATGAAATTCTTAATGGCGCCAGACAGATTTTAGCACGATTCTTTGGAAGCGATTCCAGTGTTTGGTGTCAATCGACGAACACCCGAAATTGTGCTAATTTTGCAATGGCTTTGAATGTCAACCACGTCAATGTCACACAAAATAAATCATACGTTTCAGTCTATTAATCATACTTATTTTGAAGTTGAGTTCAACGACAAAAACGAACCATTTCAATTTCAGTTCACCGCTGTCTACGTTGAGAACATTGTCGACGACAAAGAAAAAAAAACCTTTGATACAATGAAAATGGATGTAATAACACTAAACTGTGTCTCGGGCCATAAAATAAACAATTACTCATTTTTCGACGGAAAAAACATGCGAACTTCTTGCAAACAAAATTGAAAGTTTGCAAAAATCAACAACAAATTAGCGATGCGACAGAGAGGAAGAGAGGGAGTGAGAGAAAAATGAGAACAAAACGTGAGCTCTGTGGACTCGATTCATTGAACTCGACACATGATGACAATTTGGGTTGTTCGACGAGTGTCATTCAGACGGCTGTGCTTTGTCTATGCTCGTCGTCACCACACGTAAACAAATTTTGGAATTCGTCGGAAAAAAA